CACGGGCTGCATAGAGAACCACCGCCATGTCTTTATTTGCTGCTTTACAAGAGCCCAAGGCATTTGCAGAAGGCTTGTCCTGGGCCAGTTGTGGGTCTGGGGTGGTGTGTGGGGGGGATACTGGTTTGGACTGGCCCCCAAGGGAGGCTCTGCAACATGTGGCTGTGGGCTGGGGTGTGCTCCAGGGGGTCTGGAGAGGTGTCTGCAGGCAGGGGGGCAGCTGCCAGAACCCCTGCCTGGTCTGGGGGTTGCTCAGGGAGGGCTTTGCAGTGGGGGGGGGGGGGCATGTGTATGTACGGGCTCTGCTGGGTGTCTCAGCAAAACACGGCTATGAGTGCCCTTCCATCCCTGTGGGACGTGTGGCCCTGCAGCCTGCCCAGGCTATAGCAGAGACCGGGGGGGGGCAGGGCTTCCAGTGGGGCTGGTGCTTCCAGTGGGGCTGGGTGGGAGATTTCTGTCCCCAGCGCTGTGCAGCTGGGATGGGACCAGGCTGATCTCCGGGCTGGAAGGCAGATGTGGCAGAGGGAGTAGCTGCAGCCAGGGAAGATGTATAGCCATGGTGGGGATGGAGAGGGGTCGCAGCCTCTTATCCTCCCCTGCAGCCTCTCTCCAGCCCCCCCAGCAGGGCTGGAACCGGAGGGGGCTCAGCAGCCACTGTTCCTGCGCATGAAGGCATGTCCCCTCACGGGATGCTGCATCTCGATGAAGGCCAGCTCCCCCACCGTCACCTCGCAGGGACCCAGCACCTCGAAACCGCACTTCTGGTAGAAGGGCACGAGGAAATCTTCGCACATGAGCAGGGCGCGCCGGGCGAAGGGCAGGCACCGCAGGTACTGCAGGTATCGCCACATGAGGATGGAGCCCTTGCCTTGCTGCCGGAAGGTGCGGTGTACGGCCAGCACGTGGATGTGCACGGCCGTGCCCCGTGGCTTGTGCAGGGTCAGGGCCGCCTGCCAAGGGGGAGCAGGAGTTAGTGTGACCAGGGGGTCCCATCCTGCATGTGCCTTGGTTCCCCACCCCAACAAACCAGGGTCCACGTCCTCCACTAAAGGGAGAAGGGTCCCAGTGCATCCTCCTTTACCTCCCCCCATCATCCCTGTGGGCTTCTTAATTTTTAAATGAATGTTGTGGGGAATTACTGAGCATATTTTTTTTAACAGCATCAGTAAAATTAATTAATGAGAAAGTTCATTTCCACCCGAGCAGCCTTGTAGCAATTAGTCTTGGGAGGCGATTGGCAAGTAGCCCTGGGGACCTTCTCCTCGTCCCCAGGCTCTGGCAATGCCTCTCCCAGCACACGGAGCTGGGAGAGCGGGGTCCGGCTCTTACCTGGCTGAGCCTGTCCTGGTCCCAGAGGGAGCCGATGATGAACGCTACGAGCCGCCCTTCCTCAAACCAGCCAAGGGACAGCTCTGGGCACAGGTTCAGAAAGTGGCGGATCTCATCCAGGTGGAGGGGACAGTCCCCGGAGACAGATATAAAGGCTGGAGGGGGACGGCAGTGAGCACAGCGAGGGGGACCCAGACACACACACACACCCCCAGCACTGATGTAGGGAGAGGGAAGCGGGATGCGATGGGGAGAGATGGCATGTGTCCTGCTGCCCACTTGGTCTAAAGGAGCTCTAAGGGACAGGGTAGCTCCTGGGAGCAGCTCTGCTCCACCAGAGGCAGCCCCCCTTGGCCCAGGGACCGGCTCCCCACTCTCATTGCTGATTCCAGGGGTATGGCGGTGGGTGCTGAGGTGAACCCTCCCTCCTGGCATCTCCCCGGCTGCCCTTGCTCTTTGGAGAGGAGGGAGAAATGGGCTGGGTGAGTGTGAGTGACGGGAGCTGGGGGTGCCAGGGATGAAAGGGCAAGGGGAGGTTGCTGGGGGTGCATCTCAAAGTACCCCTGTGCAATAGGAGGCTGAGCATGGTGTCCTTCCTCCCACCTTCCCCCTCTCCTGTCCACTCGCATCTGGCAGAGCTGTTTTGGGAGACCTGCTCCCTACTCGCCTGATCCTGCTCCAGGATGGCCTCCCACCATCGCCACCCTGGGCAGCTGGGTGAGCTGGGGGCTGTGGTTCTCCACCTCCTTAATTACAGCCCCCGCTACCTCATTAGGGAGCTGGTGGTGGCTTGCGGCCACAAGTTACAGCAGCTGCTGGCTCCCTCCCTCATCACCCAGGAGGGCGTGCATGGGGATTTTGCCACCACGGTGTGTCCCCAAGGAGCATGAGGGACCGGTGGAGGGAAGGGATGGGGCATCTCCAGCCGATGCCACCAGGTAGGCCCTCCCTGGGGCAGGCCCTTACCTTCCCTCTCGATCTCGAACACGCTGACGGCGTCCTCGGGGCTGAGGCAGCGAAACTCGCTGGCAGGCAGCGTGTGGCGGCGCTGGCCCCCGGGCGAGCTTCGGGGGGACCTCAGGTGAACAGGCTTCAGGAAAGGCAAGGCGCTGAGCGCCGACATCCTCCACCACCTCCTGCCCCGCTTCCCACCGCTCCCTCTGTTCAGGGCAGCCTCTGCCCGCTCCCGGCCCCAGCGGTGGCACGGCACCCTCTATTTCAGGCAACCTCCTCCAGCACTCTTAGCTGCTGAAAATACCTGTTGATCACGCACAGGATTAGGCTGCTTGCCACCCTTTTTCCTATACATATGTGTGTATATGTATATATAGCAAATACCCGCCCACAGTGACCCCATTGCCGGTCTGCCGTCACTGTGAGCTGGAGCCGGTGCTTGCAGCAAGCCCACAGCCCCTGCGACCAGTGGGACAAAAGCCCGGTGACCAGCTAGGTAGTAACCTTGCAGCAGTCTGGGGCTGCTAACCAGGCTCCCAAAAAGGCCAAAACATTCCTCAGCTGCCTGGGAGAGGTCCTGGGGAGCTGCTGGGCATGGAACTGCCTCCAACACAGACAAAACTCCTTGGATAGCAAGCTTAGAGGAGTCTGGGGGGTGGGACAGAGCAGGGAGAGGGGCTGTTAGAGCTGGAGCAGAGGGAGCAAGCGTGGGGCTGAACATCCTGCCCAGCATCTCCCAGCCCACGGCAGAGCCAGGTGGTGCGATGGGCAGGAGAGCCCTGGGGCAAGTGCAGCCACTGCCCTGGGGACAGGCAGGGTGGGATGTGGCTGTGGAAAGCCAAACGGCTGCAAAATAAGCCCCTCTGGGTGAATGTTCCCTGCAACCCTCTCATGTTCATGGTGCTGCGTGGCTGTGCGTGAGCGAGAGGTCAGTGCCAGGCTGGGATGCACGCATCGTGGTGCCCAGCACAGCCATGCCACGCAGCCGGAGCTGCTTCCCAGAGACCCTGACCTGCCAGGATTTCCTCCCTTTTCCAGCTCACTCTGCAGGCAAGCGACACAGCTCAGCCCCTGTTGGGCTCTGAGGTCACGTCCACGCACACAGACAGCGCTGAGATGGGTCCATGGCAGGATGAGTGGGTGCCTGTGGCCACAAGCCTCAGGCATCCCCCCTTGGGTGAGGGCCCCCCTGCCCTGGGAGCTCTAGGCAGCGTGATCCCACCAGGTACAGTCCACTCCAGGACATTCCAACATGGGACCCCAGACCCCTCGGTTCCCCTGGGAGTGTCATTGGCCCCCGAGCTCATCCGGCAGCACCCGTCCTGCACAGCCCGGCCAAATCCCTCAGCCTGGATCAGAGCCTGTAGCTTCAATCTGCCTCTGGTTTCATGTGTGAGCAAACCGAATTAATAAATCCAGAGAGAGCCATAAACTGAGTGGATAACTTTGCTGAAGCACAGGCAGCCCACAGGCAGAAATAGTGGGAATTGCTCCTGGAGCCATCCATCTGTCCATCCCCGCTCAGCTCAAGCAATTTGCAGCGAAGCCAGGTCATTTTTGATTATTGTTTGAGAGGTGCTGGCTTTCCCTGCTAATTATAGGCTTGCCTCCAGCTAATAGGATTTATAGAAACAAAAGCATTACCAGCACAAACATTGCGCAGGACAGAACTGGCGCAAGCTGGGAATTTTCCATCCTGAAATCCTGAGGGCCGGGTGCTTGAGATGCCTGTTTTATACAGTCTGAGGCGAGATGGGGTGTCATCGTGATTTATTTTCAATGAATTGCTGATTTGGCAGTGGATATGTATCTAAAGGATTGGGTTCATCAGGGAGAGGGGGTTTCTTTGATAGGGGAATTATTTAATATCCCTAATGCCGGTTCTAGTCATCAAGGACTAACTGGAATGGTGCTGGGAATGGGTGGTTTGTGCTCCTGGGAACAATGTATGAGGGAAGGGAAGGGGAAAGTGGGGTGCTGGGGGGGTGGTGGTGTGGGGTGTGTAACATTTGTAGATCTTTTCATCAAATCTTCTGGAACTCCTCACCCTGTTAATTGGATTAGGGGTTCATCCACCTAGATAAATCCCAAAGCAGGCAAGAGGGTAGGCTGTGGGCACTGAGAAAACGCAATGGTGGTTTGATCCTGGGCGGTGCTGAGTGCCTGGGGCAGGCTCTGGGGATGCTGCTGGGTCAGGCCCAGGGCCGGCTGTGCGGGGATGCCAGGGCAGAGCAGCCGGCCGGGCAGGGGCTCGGGCAGGGCTGGCATTTCAGCTGCCCTGGGAATTATGAAGCAGGAGGTTTGCTCGCCGATAGCCACTGTTAGCCAGGTCACTGCCCAAGAGCAAGTCTTTACCCCACATCATGCAAAGGCTGTAAAGAACTGAATACTGGAAAGTCTCTATGGGGACATCCACAGAGCTGGGGGGGGGTTCGAGACCTCTTGTGTGAGTGGCTGCTCAGTTCCCATCAGAGATGAGCGGGAAAGGGGAATCGGATTCCTCCAGCTATTTTTAGAAATCTCTTGAAACCCCAACCAGCAACAGCCCAGAGCAGAAGTCAGTGATGGGGAAAGGCTGCTCCTTAGCTTGTTTTCCTTGTATTTTTTCCCCTCTGGCACTTTTTTCCTGGCAACCCAGGTTATGCAGCTGGAGGGGCTGAAAATTTTGTGTTTGTTTTCTGGAAATGAACTTTTTGCTTTGCTTCTCAGCTCCCTGCAGATGCAAAAGTCTTCTTGGGGGGAGGATACCTACAGGCTGCAGAGCTCAGAGGAACCAGCTGCCCTCCCCAGCCCGTCCCTGGAGCCGACCCCGGGCCCCGCATGGCCACGGGGGCACCAGCAGTGCAGTTACACCAGGGAAGCTTCCGACCTGCAGAGGTGAAGGGAACTCACCCCAGGTCACAGAGTAAGTGAGAACCAAAATGAGGAGGAAAATCCTCTCTCCCTGGCTCAAGACCTTTGTCTGCCATGCTCCAACACAGCCTCCTGTATATCGTTCAAGCTGCTTATACCCCAGGCCAAATTTTGTGCTGTAGCTCCTTACCAGACCTGCCTGAGATAAGCCTGATACATTTGTGTGTGCATAGCAGCGTACCAAAAGCTCACTCTGTAAATTTTCCCCCCTACACCTGTGTTTATGCACTAGAGATCAAAGCATCCGCATGGTCCAGAGAGATGCTCACATGTAAATAAACAGGCAAGCCCGCGTTACCCCCCTAACAGCATCTTTTTATTGTTATGAATGTCTGCCTGGATTTGGAGCTTGGATTTTTAAATGAGTTGGTAGTAAGGAGTTAATTGCCTAGTTTTGAAGCCACATAGTCTTCGCAAAAGAGCTTGAGTTCTTCTCACACCCTGAACATGGAGGGGTTCAATGAGAAGAGTCCCTGCTACACCCAGGTTCCGATAGCATGAGTTGGAAGCATAGGGCTGGGGCAGGGGCTGTGATGAGAGTCACGTTATCTCCAGCAAAGTCATTTTTCAGGCAAGCTAAGCTCCATGCACCAACCTCCCTCCCCTCTGGGGCAATCCCCCACATCCTGGGATACCAGGGCTGGCAAGTCACAGTGGCCTTGGGGCCACCAGCTGTCCCCAAGGCTGTTAGTACCACTGGGATGCAATAGAAACGTGGGTGCTTACCGGAGGGGGACCCCACGCTGCTCCACTGCCCGGCTGGCTCTGGTGGTGCTGCCTCGTAGCTGTCGGGAGAGGGGGACCAGGGGTTTTGCCTCCCCTCCTCTGTCTGCCGCACCCTCCACAGCCCTTGCTTATATCTTTGTTATTTATGGAGCACGTGATGACATCCTAAGGAGTTTATAACCCCGATGAAAGACAGGGAGAGGTGAGAGGCTTTAAGGTGACAGGCCAGCAAAAGGATCCCATAAGGCTTTTTTTTTTTTTTTTTCTCCTCCTGGCATGACTGCCTGCAGAGGGATAAAGCATTTAGCTGATTGCTCTGCACCGAGTCCCCGCTGTGGGCTGGACAGGGAGAGCAGAGGACTTAGCTAGGAAAGGAGATCAACGTCCTGTGCCTGATCCCGACCTCTCTGATGGCATCGGGAGCCGAGCATGGATGAGTTGTCTTTGTGCCAGAGACGGGGAGGCTGCTGGCCATGCCAGCCATGATCATCACTTGGGCTTGAGCGGTGGGGAGTTTCTCAGGGGAACTGGCTGGCTTCTTGTAGGAGGGGGGGCCAGACCTAAGGTTTCTGCCCCAAGGAGCTTACTCCAAAGACCAAGCATCTCTCCCCCATGCAGCCCACAGTCCCTGGGAGGCATTTGCATAAGAAACTGGATAGGCAAAGCCAGCACTATTTGTCCCTGTCAAGACATGTATAATAAAAGGGGGATTATCCCAGGCGTGAGCTCCCAGAAAAGAAATGTCTGGGAAGGTCAGCAAAAATAATAATTAAAAAATGTTGGCATCGTCATTATCATCATGAACCAGATGCAGCCCTGAAAGAAGCCCAGAGCAGGAGGCAGAGCTGGCTTTGCTCCACTGGAGACATTTCCAGGGGAGCTCAGGACCTACTTTAATTTCCAGCTGTGGGCAAAGTGACCTGGGGCTACAACCTTATCTCCCTCTTTTACTTTTTTTTTCATGGAATCAAAACAGAAATATGACCCAGCAGCTTTTGACTCTTCAGAAGCAGCATTTCAGAGCAACTCCCAGCCATTAAAACTGAGCCCAGCACAGCAGAGGCTGGCCCGTGGCTGGAATAGTCAAGCAGGGATGCTGCTCTTGGTGATTTTAGCTGGGTCCCTCTCTCCCTGCTCCTACGCAGCTACAGAGGGTCAACAGCTCCATTAAATGAGAGCCATAGCAGTGTGCTGCGATTTACATATTTAGCAGCTCTCTCAGCATCTTCAAAGAGCCCTGAGCTGTCACTCCGACCCCGGGCTGGTCCCTCTGTTGGGGTGCCCGCTCAGGACAACAGCGATTACCTCTTGGTGGGATTTGCAGCTAGGGGTGACATGTGGGAGGCAGATGAATTGGGACTCGACCCCCCCTCTGCCAAGACTTGGGAATGAAGCAGCACAGGCACAGACGAGGGGCTCCTCAGCTGTGCTGCACTCCCCCTCCGTCCCCACCGCCCTGCCCAGTTATCCCACTCCTGGGGGGGGATTAAGCTGCTTTCGGTGGCTGCAGCCTTCGCAGTCCCTTGGCCTCAAGGGGCAGGGTCTGCCATCACAGGGGACGCAGGGACGTTTCTCTCCCAAACTCACGTAATTACTCACATAACTACCAAGCTGGACACTCTGCTTATGCCCCTGTTTTACCCCTTCCCCTGGCTTAGCCATGGGGGCCTGTGTGCCCAAGGGGTGATGCTTTTCTCCTGGCAATGGCATAACGGGGGTGGCAGCAGGGCTCTGCTGTTTGGCATCACTGCAAGATCAGCTGTGGGCTCTGATTTCATTCCCCCTTGTCTCCTACCTTTTCATCAGCTGCTGCGGACTGGCAGCATGCGAGTGCTCGTCATTGCTGTAACTTCACAGCAGGATGCAGCTCTTTGGACATACTCGGTATTCTCAACACTTGCCAGGCTGGCTACCTGCTGCTGCTTTAATCCCCTGGTGCTCCCCTCCCATGTTGCCAAGAGCAGTTCAAAATCGCCGGCAGGTCCTGTGAAGCCAGC